GGTATTGGGGCAACTTCTTTTGCAAATGCATTTACTTCTGGCATAAAGTTGAGGATGACTATGAAGACAAAGTAGACGTTGGCAAACCTATGAAATTGTTCCCATATGTTATAAGGAATGAAATTAAGTATGGTGTATTTTGTCGTTTTAATGAGATTATCAGCGAACTTTTCATTTGGATTGTCGAATTTGGCAGTATGCTCATTAAGAGAGGTGACCGGGTATATTGTTCTCGATTTTGGAAGAGAAGACGTTGGATTCAAACAGTTGCCCATATTGAACCGTAAGATTATCTGTAACTATCTACATGTTAAGCCCATATCGCAATAAAAAGGGTCGACAAATTTCGAGCAGCAGCCAGAACACGCGTTTTCCTATTAACTCCGTGTTTACGCACCGTAGCAGTAAAACCCAATAAGAGCATATATTTCCATATAATTTTTAAGTCTTTTTTTACTAATTATTAAATCTTATTTATTAATTATTTAACTGAATAATGAATAGGAAGTTAATTTTATGTTGCAATATGCATCAAATGGTTGCTTGCGTTACTAGGATATTACTGCGCACCTTATGAACTGTGTTAGAGTTAATGGGCCCGCAATCTGATTTGAGTGTTGTTCTTGATGGACTTCCAAGAGATCTGCCTGCTTGTCAGTTCTCTCCTATAGAAGATAATAAAGATATCAGTAAAAATGATCAAAAACAAGATAAAAAAATAATTGACTTTCTTACTGAAAAAGCACAAAAAGATTTTCCGCAATCAGCTTATCAACTCGGACAATTATTGTTTTTTGAGGTAATGATCCTAGTTTGTTAGATTTTTGAATTAGAAGAAATATGATGAGGCATTTTCATACTTTCATGATGCATTGGTTAAGTTTAATGATCAAAGAGCAAAGTTTCAACTCGCGACTATACTTTATGATAACCTTGCACCTATTGCTGCGAGAAGTTTCACAGATAATGCTTTGGTTTGGTGCATTTGTTCTTTATTACTAGAAAGATGCTTGCAAAATGCTTCTTGAAATAGTCGAATTACCCGTTGGTGTTGATTGCCCTATTGGCCAGCGGGACTTAGTTCATACGGCTATGTACAACCTTGCTCGTGCTTATTATCAGGGTTTTGGTGTACCTCAATCAGATAAGGAGGCAATTAGGTAAGTTATATTGACTTAGAAGATACGAGGTAATCTCATTCTATGTCTGTACTTGCCCTGAGTATGTTCCTGTTTTTAAAAGTTCGAATACGATTTTCGCCCAAATTATTTACTATCCTTTTATTTTATTTTAATTGTGCTCTTATTCGGTATTGCTTAAAACATTTTGAATCGAATGGAAAGATGCTTTGTTGCAACTGGTTTTACCCAATAGCTTATTTGCATTATCAGATCATAGATATTAAGTCCAAGATCGCGTGGTCTAAGAATTGCCATTATACTCCGAATTTTTTTAGTAGCGATTGGTTACATACAATTTTTGGAGTGATTCTTTATAATACCCTAGAGAAATTTTCTTTGTCTCTGTTTTAATAGAGGTTCATTCTCATCATCTATACTCTTGTCCCTATGTAGGGATTGAGTAGATATTACTGTCCATGAATGGTCAGAATTTCGGCTTCACAGAATTATTCCGCATCTCAAATGGTATTTGAATTTTGTACCCGAGGGTTGTTTCTAGTCCACACCATACTAACTTCGTTGGGAACTTGGGCAGAAATGTCATACGACCAGGTGTACACGGCCGACGATGTGATACCTGATATTTTTATCACAAAACTGTCCGCATATTATGCATTTTAATGTCAAAAACGCGTTAGCCTATTCAAAATTTTATGTACTATTATTAATAGAAGGAGTTATTTCTTTATTTTTAACTATAATTGCCTTGTAATTAATTCGAGATATTGTCATGTGGTCTAAGAGGCGATTATTTTGTCATAGCCATCTGATCCTGGAGTCGAACTACTTTTATGTTATATATAAGACCCATATAACCTCAAAATTGAAGCCCATCCTAGATAAGAATGGTTGCCTAGAGTAATGACACAGCTGAAATTGCAAATCATATTTTTCTTATAGGCATTTTATGTAGTTTTATTATCTTTTTTCTTACGTGTATGTGCATAATAATAAAAAACGG